CTGAAATATCAGAAAAAAATATTTTATAAATAAAATCCAAAATGTAATTATGTATACCATCACATGACTAACAACAAAATCTATCTGGGTCATTCCATCTCAAACCAACCACTGGTCACAGGCAGGGCAGGTGTGTACTATCCTCCCCCAATGGTGGGTGGAGCCTGATGGGGGGCCCCGGGCAATGCTTTGTGACCCTTGCTATCAACATTTAATTTTTTTTTACCTACATTTATATGCATTACAAATTAAACTAAGTACATTTGATTTTTATAGGATTAAAAATATTTGGATTTTGACATTATTCTATTTTTTTTTTTAAATCATGTTATAAAATACACTATTTTTTATCCACAATGTTGAATGTGTTAAAATTATTCAACTTTTTAAAAATTTCAAGTTGATGTTAAAAATTACTGCAAAATATTGTGGATTTATTTAAAATAGAATGATTTGTTATGACATGTTTCTAATTTGTATTTAGATACATTGTATTTATTTTCAATTTTTCTAGTTGAATTGTTCACCTATATTGCATATAATCCATTATTGTACATAATTAGGTTACAATAAAATTGTATTTTATATGAATACTACCTTATGAAAATTGAGATGTCCAGTATCAAATATATTCGGTGGGGGGGGGGACACAAGACTTTTGCTTCAGCCCTGATCACAGGTGACCATCTTAGAAAAATCTGGGGAAAATTCACAGGTATCTTTGATCAAATTTATTGATAAATCCCAAATATTAGACCTGTATCTTAATAATTTTAAAATCAGGGCATCTTGAAATTTAACTGCATTTGTGTTTTGCTAAATAAGGCTTTCTATGAACTGCCTTTTTACAGCTCCAAGGATATTGCATGTACAGATTTGAAACTTAGTGATAATAGTTAATATTTACTGAAGATTACAAAAATATAAACAGCTTAGGTATGTCTCATGTACTTTTATTTTTATAAGGACCTGAAAATGGCTAAAATTAATATTTAGGTTCAGACATAATAGTCAATAACTTCAATGATAAGTCAGTGTAATAGTTGCCAAGTTGTAATTTTTTGAAAGTCTGCTACCACAAGATCCTTTAGAGATAAGGAAACTACCATATATTCTTTTAGCCACTGCTGGTCTTTTTTTTTTTTTTTTTTTTTTTTATAGATGAGTCATTTCATTTCAAATCAGTCATAGATGACCCTCTTAGAAAAATCTGGGAAAATTCACAGGTATTCTTTGACCAAATTTATTGATAAATCCTAAATATTGGATCTGTATTCTTATTAGTTTTGAAATAAGAGCATCTTGAAATCTCACTGCATTTTTTTTGTATTTTGCCAAACAATGCTTTCAATAAAATTCTGACATTCATAGCTCCAATGATATTGCCTGTAAAAAAAATTTGAAACTTGATAACAACAGTTAGTAAAATATAAAAAGCTTAGGTGTGTATTATGCCCTTTTATTTTTATAAAGACCTGAAAATGACCAAAATACAAGGACGCTTTTCAATTTGAGAACTTCTCATTTACAAAGTATACCAAATATAGCATCCAAATTAGTTTTCCTATTATAACGCCATCTGGTCATCCAATGAGCTAAAGGGCTCACCAAATATCCAGTAATGGCCATCAATATTAGATTTCATCCATCAACCATTGCCCATGTTGTGACTGATCTGAAACAACCAGAAATCTGCTGCAGGAGTTGGCATACCATGGCTAACGGCAGCTCTGACAGTTATATAATAAGAGAGATGACAATTCTTTTCAACTTTAACAAATTAATTATACAAGGTAATATCAGAAAAAATACAATCTTCAAAAAAAAAAAAAGCCCTGGGAGTGATGGACAAGTATACCCTTAAGACATGGGCTCTTATTTTCACACTCTAGGTGTCTAATTGTTGGTTTTAGGTTGGTACACGATTATGGGTTCCAGAGGTAGCTTAGTCAATTCTTAGGCACATTCTAATTCAAATCTAAGTGATAACTTTCTCTGAGTTCTGTGGACTTTGCTGAATTACTCTGGAGTCTGCTGATCTGTTCCACCCAACCCATGGTTTTACTCTGCTCAACCCATGGCTCTGTTCTCTCTAAAAGCCTCAAAATTCCCAGTTTAAATAATACTTTGCCCAAAGCCAGGTAGGGGTTTGACTGGCATAGAAATATCAACCATTCCTTTGTCTCAACTGAGATTTTCCAGTTTTGGGCAATTATCCAGTCCCTTACTGGCAGTGAGAGGGTTAATACACCCATCAAACTCCAACTTGCCTTCTCCAACATCTCTGACTTTCACTCATAACTGCCACCTCCTCTTCTTCCTTTAACTTCCTTAGAAACAACCTGTTACTACTCTTTTTGGGGTGTCAATTAATCTGATTGATCAATCCCTTTCTAGAGACTGTCAGAATTAGCTCCTCCTCAGCTCCTTAACCCTTCACCAGGGGTCTCTCTCCCCTGGCTATAAATACTAGCTGACCCTTCGCCTCTTCCTCTTTTTTCCTCAGGCCTTCAGCCTTATACCACCATGCAGAGCTCTCACAGATACAGCGTTTCCCAAATTCTGGGAACACGCTAAGAACAATACATGTACGTACGAACACTCACCGCAACACTCACACATAATATTCACCACACGCACTCTGTCCATGTAACTGTCCATGTAACATGTAACCTTTAACTTGTTATTAATACATATATTTGTTTATATATTTATCAATCTTGTTTGCTTTCTTTGGACTTAATTAAAGTCCAACTTTCTCATGTAGTTGGACCGGCTAGCAGGAAATTCTACCCACATGTGTTCTTCTACATACTTATCACCGCCATGGTCCACTACAAGACTGTAACAAGGGGTGGTCTGAACCTTAGCAAAAAGCTATCCATCTCAACTACTTTAAATTTTAGGTGAATTCAATTTATGGAAAAGATCACCCCTTGAAAAAATTATTATTATCTTCCAGGTTTTTGCTGGACAGAAAATCAAGAATCAAGAAATGGCTGTATGGATTTATTTTATGGAGAAATCAAATCTCAAGAAAAAGATATGTCGGAGTTAACTCTTCCTTCAGTCCGTTAACCCTTTCACCAGGGGTCTCTCTTCCCTGGCTATAAATAGCCGCTGACTCTTCGCCTCTATCTCTTTTTCCTTCAGGCCTGTGCACCGACACCTTGAGGTAAATCTATCTCTTTTTCCTTCAGGATTTCAGCTATCAACCTCGAAATGTAAGGCGCTAACAAGGGATAGCGTGGAAACACACTAAGCACAATATTCACACACGCACGCACACAGAATATTCACACACAGAATATTCACACACACATACAGAATATTCACACACACTTCGTCCTTTGTACTGTTTCCATGTATTGTAACTTGTTATTAATATATATTTGTATATACATATATTATTGGTCTTGTGTTTTGTTTGCTTTCTTTGCCTTCTTCTTTGGACTTAATCAAAGTCCAACCTTTTTATGTAGTTGGGCTCGGCGGGCAGGAGTATCTGAACCTTGCGTTTCTTCTACGTCTGACTTCTATCAACAACATTCCCCGCCATGAAATCTCTACAGATAAAACATATTTAATTCTCTTTTCTTTCAGACCACATTCAATGCTTCCTCTAATCATTATCTTCAAGTGAAAAATCATTATCCAAATCAGTGTGCTGTTTTGCCTAAATGAACAGATGCTTTTCATCAATCTCAACCACCTGAAATTGCTTCATAAAAACAACTCTCTGACCAGACAGCAGTTACTTTCTTGGCCTAGTTTTAATATCCACTTAGATATCTACAACTGTTGTCCATATCCATTACAATTTTATCTTGACCAGTGGGTTTAAGTGTATTGAGGCCAGAACACTCCAGTCAAGATTTAAATGTTATTTCAACCTGAGATAAGTGTTTTCTAGGTCAGCCCATCTGCTTGTAGCCAATAATGTCACACTATCATTATGACCTAGTACACTATTTCTATGCAGTTACCATATTCATTCTGAGTAGTGTCAGTATATTGGTATTAATGTTTAAGAAGTTGCTCAATTTTTTATCATTCTTAAAATTGCCTATTTTTATGACATCAACAAACCAGCTAGGCAGTTTAACCTGTTACCTGCCATGAGCCCCATTTGGGGATCTGTTAAAATTAAACTCACTACATGTTATTGTTATTCCTTGTATTTACATTGAATTGCTTACAATACATACATTGCATTTGCAGAGGTATATTTTAAAGCACTTAGCCTTTAGAGTTTTACTATTAGCTATAACTAATCATAGAAGACACTTTCTGTCGTAATTTTACATTTCACAATTAGAAAAATATTTTGAAAAGTATTTTTTTTATTATTTCTAATCAATATTATTTTTTGATGTTTTATACGCATATATATTTGATGTTCTAGTTTTTATAAAGTTTCAAAGTATCAGCTATTTGAAGAAAATTTTAATATAGTATGTTTTAACTCCTAAGACACCTGTCTGAGCCAAAAATGCGCATTAAAAAAATTTGACAGTTAATGGGTTAAGAAAATTTTTATATTTTTACCACATATTCTTAAGTGCCTGAAGACCATGTGACAGAAGTTTTGTTTTGTGGACAAACTTTTGTTTAGGGTTAAAACAGATTTTTCTAGAACAACTTGTCATGCCAAAATCATGGTTTTGTTGATATTGGCACCTTGTAAATTTGATACTTAAGAAAATATGAAGCTGAAACTTGGCATACATATTGTTTTCTATGTAAATAAACTATTTTTGGTTTCATTTTACCCTACTTCCAAATAGTTTAGATACCATGGGCCCTTGAAAATAGTTTTTGAATGCTCTATGAAGGTTTTTACCTGGACAAAGAAACTAAACCAACAACATTAAAATAAGGATTTACTAGATTATTTTAATTTTAAATACATTGTCAAAATAATGAAATTTCTTCAAGTAACTTTTTTATACTTAAAAATATACACAAATCAGTAAGTCAAAAATCACATCAAAAACATT